CGATGTTTTTTTGTCCCCTCTGCAGCTGGTGCTGGAGGTTATCTGCTCCCGGATGCGCTACATCTCCTCGCAGATCGAGCGGCCCATCCGCATCGTGGCCCTGAGCTCGTCCCTGTCCAACGCCAAGGACGTGGCGCACTGGCTGGGCTGCAGTGCCACCTCCACCTTCAACTTCCACCCCAACGTGCGCCCCGTGCCCCTGGAGCTGCACATTCAGGTAGGGCTTTGCCACCATCTCCCTTCGTTTCTCTTCTCCCTGCCCTTTCTGTCGGCTCCCCGGCAGCATCACCCCTCGCTGCCCCTCTCCTCAGGGCTTCAACATCAGCCACACGCAGACTCGCCTGCTCTCCATGGCCAAGCCCGTCTACCACGCCATCATGAAGCACTCTCCCAAGAAGCCGGTCATCGTCTTCGTGCCGTCCCGCAAGCAGACGCGGCTCACGGCCATCAACATCCTCACCACGTGCGCCTCGGACGTGCAGAGGCACAGGTAGCTGTACCGTGTCCCCATGGGCTTTGTCCCTTTGTTCTTCCTCTGGCTCTTTGTTGGCCCAAGGAACAGCTAGTGAAGGAAAGTGCCTGTGACTCGGTCTCGTTATAGAATCATAGAATGTTTAAGGTTGCAAGGGACCTCTAGAGGTCATCTAGTCCAACCCCCCTGCACACGCAGCGTCACCTAGAGCACGTGGCACAGGACTGTGTCCAAGCAGGTTTGAAGATCTCCAGAGAAGGAGACTCCACAACCTCTCTGGGCAGCCTGTTCCAGTGCTCTGGAACCCTCACTGTCGTCTTTCTCGGCTCTGTCCCCCATCTGCTGCAAAGACTGACACCCTTGTGGTTAACTATCTGCTAACAAGGTACTATTGTCTTTGAACAAGCCTCCACACCTCCCTTGAGGTACTTATATGTATGTATATATGTTATATGTCACTGAACTCTTTCTGCCCCATCAGGTTCTTGCACTGTGCAGAGAAGGACCTCATACCGTACCTGGACAAGCTGAACGACAACACGCTGAAGGAGACGCTTGTGAACGGCGTGGGCTACCTGCACGAGGGGCTCACGGCCATGGAACGGCGAGTGGTGGAGCAGCTTTTCAGCTCTGGTGAGGACATGGCTTTCCCTGGACTTCTGGGGCTGTTTGCCCTTGGGGTGCAGGTGTTGCCACCAGAAACGTGCCCTGCCTCCAGCTGAGCGCTCTCCGCTCGCCTTGCAGGAGCGGTCCAGGTGATGGTCGCCTCCCGCAGCCTCTGCTGGGGCATGAGCATCGCCGCTCACCTCGTGATCATCATGGACACGCAGTACTACAACGGCAAAATCCACGCGTGAGTGTTGGCCATGAGACCCTAATCCCCAAGGGCTTCATCCCTGTCCAGGCAGAAGTGCCGTTCTGGGCAGTGGAGCGCTGGGAGCTTCCCAGGAAGTTTCCCCCCCCGGTGAAAGTGCCACTCTCTCCGTGTCTCAGGTACGTGGATTATCCCATCTACGACGTCCTGCAGATGGTGGGTCACGCCAACCGCCCGCTGCAGGACGACGAGGGCCGTTGTGTCATCATGTGCCAGGGCTCCAAGAAGGTGAGCGAGGAGCTGGGCACGGTGTCTCACCTGTCAACGCTGCTCTCCTAGTTGGGCTGTGGGTTTCTCCTTCGAACCCTTGCTGAGAGCCCTGCTCTTGGCATCAGGAGAGCTTTCATGGACAGAGCACACACAGCATCACGGGCACTTCTTGCTCATAGTTCCTGGTGCCTGCAGCTGGTTGATTCGGTCCCCTTGCCTCTGCCCTTGCCCTGCTGTAGGACTTCTTCAAGAAATTCCTCTATGAGCCCCTGCCGGTGGAGTCGCACTTGGACCACTGCATGCACGATCACTTCAATGCTGAGATTGTCACCAAGACCATTGAGAACAAGCAGGACGCAGTGGACTACCTCACTTGGACCTTCCTCTACCGCAGGATGACCCAGAATCCAAACTACTACAACCTGCAAGGTGAGCAGGGGGTCTGCACTGAATGATCCCGGGTGGGTGGATGCCCACCTGCCTCTTCCCTGTGGGCTCCGCAGACCCAAGAGCAGGTTTTCCCCATGCTGGGAAGTCCCTGAGCTCCTCCGCGCTGCTCCTGCAGGCGTGTCCCACCGGCACCTCTCGGACCACCTCTCGGAGCTGGTGGAGCAGACGCTCAGCGACCTGGAGCAGTCCAAGTGCATCAGCATCGAGGACGAGATGGACGTGGCTCCTCTGAACCTGGGCATGATCGCAGCTTACTACTACATCAACTACACCACCATTGGTGAGGGCCTTGTCAGGGGCAAAAAGGGGCTCTGCAAAGGGCAGGAAGAATTTCATTGCACTCTGGGCAAAGCCAATGTCCCACATGTGTGCTTAGAGGCCAAGGGCCATGTCCCTTAGCACGAGGTCGCGTGTTGCCTGTCTAGGACTGTCTTGTCGTTTGGGGGGTTGATGCTGCCTTGGTTCTCCCTGACTCCGCGAGCTCTCTGCCTTCCCTAGAGCTCTTTAGCATGTCCCTCAACGCCAAGACCAAGGTGCGAGGGCTGATCGAGATCATCTCCAACGCCGCCGAGTACGAGAACATCCCCATCAGGCACCACGAGGACAACCTGCTGCGGCAGGTGAGCGAGGGGGCAGCGTGGCCGGCCGAGCTGGGCCCCCAAAGTGGCTGTGGCACCGGGTGCCGCAAGGGACAGAGGTGCGGGATGGCCCGAGGGATCTCAGCTCTGTGTGCTTGAAGCGCTGAGGGATTTCTCTGTCTCTAGTTGGCCCAAAAGGTTCCCCACAAGTTGACCAACCCCAAATTCAACGATCCCCACGTCAAGACCAACCTGCTGCTGCAGGCTCACTTGTCGCGCATGCAGCTGAGCGCCGAGCTGCAGTCGGACACCGAGGAGATTCTCAGCAAGGTACAGGGCACGCGAGGGCGCACGGAAACCAAGCGGCCCCCGCCTGCCCGGCGCCCTTCCGACGCGTCTTGCTTTTCCCCAGGCCATCCGGCTGATCCAGGCGTGTGTGGATGTGCTGTCCAGCAACGGGTGGCTCAGCCCCGCGCTGGCTGCCATGGAGCTGGCGCAGATGGTCACGCAGGCCATGTGGTCCAAGGACTCGTACCTCAAGCAGCTGCCTCACTTCACCTCTGAGCACATCAAGCGCTGCACGGACAAGGCAAGGGCCGAGGAGAACGCTCTCCAGGGGCTCAAGAGCCACTGGCTTCCCGTCGCAGTGCTCAAAGGCGGCTCCATGTCTTTGTTGCAGGGTGTCGAGAGCGTCTTCGACATCATGGAGATGGAGGATGAGGACCGCAACGCGCTGCTGCAGCTCTCGGACGCGCAGATCGCCGATGTCGCCCGCTTCTGCAACCGCTACCCCAACATCGAGCTCTCCTACGAGGTGGTGGAGAAGGAGAGCATCCGCAGGTGAGGCCGGTGCTCCGCGCGGCCCCTCGGAGCCGTCGCGGGGCCGCTCTCATCCCCTCTTCCATGGTTCTCCACGCAGCGGAGGGCCCGTGGTGGTGCTGGTGCAGCTGGAGCGTGAAGAGGAGGTCACCGGCCCCGTCATCGCACCCCTCTTCCCCCAGGTATGTCCAGCTGTGCCCCAAGGGAGCCTGCCAGCATCTCCCACGCTGGGGGAGCTCGGCGACCCTAGGGACAGCGGGAGACGGGGGCTGATCCCTTATCCCTCCGGCAGAAACGCGAGGAAGGCTGGTGGGTGGTGATCGGCGACTCCAAATCCAACAGCCTCATCTCCCTCAAGCGCCTGACGCTGCAGCAGAAAGCCAAGGTGAGCGGGGCCGGGGCGAGCGGGAGCGCGCGGGGCCCGGGGCCGGCCCACGGCGCCGCTGCGGCGTAACGCGCTCTCCCCGGTGCAGGTGAAGCTGGACTTCGTGGCGCCGGCCACGGGCACGCACAACTACACGCTCTACTTCATGAGCGACGCCTACATGGGCTGTGACCAGGAGTACAAGTTCAGCGTGGACGTGAAGGAGGCCGAGAGCGACAGCGAATCCGACTGAGGGCAGCTCACGCCGACCCCGCCGCGGCTTTCGGCCTTTTTTTGCGTGCCCGGGCTGCGGCGCTCGCTGGTGGTGGCACCCGCTCTGTTCCTCCGAGCGGGGACCTCCCTCCTCTCCCCCGCCTGGTGTTTTTTTACAGTGTTGATGCTCTGTACAGTGTCTTTTTTTAGGCAGGAGCTGCATGTGGATGCGGGATGCAACTGCAGCAGCTGCAATAAACCTTAACCCTCCATCTTGGCTTCTGCAAGGGCGGGTTTTGAGGGAGGGAAGGTGGTGGAGAAGACAGTCCTGATGAGCTCCTAGAGACAAAGCTGTCATTAGCAGGCTTAATTAAAGAGCTAGAACTGATGCTCTTGCTGTTTAACGGCTCAGAAACTGAACTGGGTGGTTTGGGGGTGTTGGAAGGGAAAAACAGGTTCCTCGATGAGGCGCAGGTGCCAAACTCAGGAACCCACCTCCCCAAGCTTTGCTTTCCAGCAAGGGCTCAAACCCCTTGTGGCCCCCATGGAGCAATCAGGGCCGGTTCTGCCATTCCCCAGGGACTGACATCCCCGGCAGGGAGGGCTTTGCTGGTGCTAAGGCGAAGCCGGAGTCTTCCACACAGCCAACACACTTTTATTGAGCAGGGGGCCGGGCGCGCGGCTCAGCAGCCCTCGGGCCGCTGGTAGCGCCAGAAGGCGATGTCGCCGTCGTCGCTGCACGAGGCCAGCAGGCCGGGCTCCGTGGGGTGCCAGGCCACGCAGTTGACGTCCTGGGAGTGCGCGCGGGCCACGTGGGCGGCCAGGCTGAAGGTGGGTGGCTCGTGCGGGGCGCCGGGCACGCTCTCCTCGAACACGCGGATGGCATCGTCCCCGCAGGCCGTCGCCAGCGCCCCCTGCAGGTGGCACCTGCGGCCCAAGCGGCATCACACGCGGCCCAAAACATGGGGAAGTAGCCCCAAAAGGCGAGGGCGGCAGCGCACTCACCACGCCACGTCGTAGATGGTGCGGGTGTGGAAACCGGAGAGGGTACAGACGCACTTCCAGGTGGGATCGGAGCCGCTGCCGGCTGGCCCCTCGGGGGGGGGGCG